CGTCCGGAGCCTGTGCTCCGCAAATGGGAGAGGCCACAACAGTGAGAGGCCCGCATAACGCAAGGGAAAAAAAAAAAAAAAAAAAAAAGAAGATGTGGTATATACACAATGGAACATTACTCAGCCATAAAAAGAATGAAATATTGCCATTTGCAGCAACGTGGATTGGACCTAGAAATATCATACTGAGTGAAGTAAGTCAGACAGAGAAAGACAAATATTATATGATATCACTTATATGTGGAATCTAAAAAATAATACAAATGAAGCTATATAAAAAGCAGAAACAGACTCACATAGAAAACAAACTTATGGTTACCAAAGGAGAAAGAGGTGGGGGAGGGATAAATTAGGAGTATGGGATTAACATACACACACTACTATATATAAAATAAACAATAAGGAATTACCATATAGCTCAGGGAACTGTATTCAATATCTTGTAATAACCTATAATGGAAAATAATCTGAAAAAATATATATGTATAACTGAATCACTCTGCTGTACACCTGAAACTAACACAACATTGTAAATCAACTACGCTTCAACTTAAAAAAAGTGCTTCACGCATGTAAATACATATATAGTAGTTTTCATGTTATCATTTGTCAAAATGGGATAACAACCACCCCTGTCCTGCCTATCCCATTGACTGCTATGAGAAGAACGTGCTGGACAAAGCAGTATAAAGTACTGTATAAATGTTCTGACTTCCAGTCCCTAGGCAATCGATTAGTATGGACCGCAGCAGTCCTGCAGAATCAGGAAGCTAAACACTAGGAGAGTGTAGTGCATTATGCAGTTGTAAACAAATCACTACTTTTATCATTAGGAAATCCCAGACCAGTCAATGTAAACAAATCCACCTAAGGCCTGCTTGACAACAGCACTTTTTAATTTACTGAAAACGGCTTTCCAGGTACTTAATTTTAAAGCCACCAATATAAGTTGGTGATTAATAATTTAAGGATGCTACATTAAAGTGGATAGATTTTTTTGGAGCAGTCTTTATGGCTTGGGTTTTCTTCCATTTTAATTCAGTAGATGTTGACATTTGTTGGTCCTGAGCATTGCGGTACAGAATGCTTTTCTGCATTTTGACCTAAAGGAGATGAGTTCCAAGTACTCCTGGGCTTGGGTATAAAACATAAGGGGACTCCCAATCCCTGAGGCAAGGAATCTAACCTCTAAAGACATATTTTTCTTTCACAAATGGCAAATATAAGAGAGTCCTTTCTGAATTATTTTATATAGCCTTCCCAGAATCTAAGTTTTATCCTATTGAATCCGAGAAGCACTGCTTTTTTTCCTACAAAGCTATTGCAGTTCACAAAATAATAATCTTTAGACTAGATTACTAGACATACTGGATTACTAGACACACCTCTCCACAACGGAAACCATCTAAGAACATGTCCCTTTACTGTTTTTTAACTGCAACAAATACTAAAATAGTTAAATGTCTGATGTAAACGTGAGTAAAGCCAGATACAGAAGTATGTTTAGACTTCTTCCAAGAAATCTTTTTCCCTCCAAGTCAGTTTTGACCCCTCTCACTGTTATCTCTCCTCCATCAGACTTGGAACCTCATCGTAGCCTGGAATGTGCTTTTGCATATTTTGGTTTTCCATCAAAATGCTCACAGCTCACTAGTCCCCTGCACATAACTGGGGATCAATAAATGGTTTTTGAGTAAATTTATTTAGTCTTTAGAACAATGTCTTTTGTAGTGCCATTTCAGATGAAGACTTCTAATCAAGAGTTGCTTGGCTCTCCTGAGTAATAAGACTGGAAGGTATTTTCTTTCTTTCTGGCAGAATAAAATCTGCATGTCCCGGTGAGAGCTTTGGAAACGTATAATTGATGTATTTTTGAAATGCTACCCTGGTTTCCTGTAACTCCTCCTCCAGGAAATCTTTCCAATTTGTCATGATTCCCAGTTGCTTCGCCATGGACAGCAGCTCCCCCTGAGTGTTAAGCAGTTTGTCCATCACATTTCCAAGCGTGGCCTGATGTGTTTTCTCTGCTTCTTGAAGCACTTCCTGAACCTCTTCTTGCTTCTGTCTCTGAGCCATGCAATAGTAGATGTTCATGTCATGTTCTTTTTCCTTTATCAGTTGGCTCACACTGTTCTTTTGATCCTTCATAACTGTGACATCAGCTCTCAAAAGTTCCTCCATGGCCTTTCTACAGAAAGGAACAAGGGTTGAATATTAATAGTTAGATGGATTAGTCACCAAAAAAAAAAGATTTTGTCTTTCACTGCAGATGTAGGAGAAATGCTTCCATGTTTTACATGAGTCACCAGTCTGACACAGGCTGGTAGATGAGCTTTGATTAGACGTTAACAATAAAAAAACATTTTTCAGAGCAGGGAAGGTGCACATTGATTTCCCCACTGTGGGCTAGGGCGAGGCCACTAGTCTAGTGTCTAACGCTAACTTTAGGGACTCGAGTCCACTGTAGCCAGAAAAATATGAATGCAGAGTTCTAAAAAAAAATGAAGAAATAGGCTCAGATTCCCAAACCCCTAGAGAAAGTATTTCTATATATCAATGCAGCTACTCACCTTTAGCCAGAGGGGAGGAAACTGTCTCACAGGGTGAGTTTAGCCCTATTCTTGATTCTATCTGAGCAATACTCTAAGACAGCAGTCTCAAACTTTTTGGTCTCAAGATCACTTTTCACTCTTAAAATGACCAAGAAACCCAAAGAACTTTTGTTCATATGGGTTATATCTAGTGACCCTAACAGTTTTAAAAGTTAAAAGTCAGACATTTAACAAACATTTATAAATTCATGTGAAGTATCGATAAATCCATTAAACATTAACATAAAACACTTACCTCATAGGAAAAATATTTTTTCTAAATCAAAAAACTTTTGGTGAGAAAAGTGGCATGATTTTACATTTGTGGCAAAACTCTTTACTGTCTGGCTTAATAGAAAAAAAAGCTAGATTTTCGTTTCGTTTCAATCTGTTGAGATATCACACATAAAACCCTGGAAAACACCACTACATACTGATGAGATAGAGTAAAAAGGCAAATCACATCTTAGTGTTATTAAGAAAATAGCTTTGACCTTGGGGACCTGCTGAAAGGGTCTGGGACCATACTTTGAGAACCATTGCTGAATGAATTCATAGGCCTCTGGTTATAATGTATACAGTTATATAGAATTTATAGCAGCCAACTATAAACTTAATAGTAACTCAATGGTTAATATATTAACTCAATGATTACTCAAACAAGTCTATGAGGCAGTTCAGTCTATGAGGCCTATTTTATAGATGAGGAACTGTGGCTCAGAGAGGTCAAGCAACTTGCTCAATTTCACTTAATTAGAAAAAGTGGCAAAACAAGTGCTACAACTCAGGCAGTCTGGGTTCAGGGCAAATCTCTTAGCCACTGAGATACACTTCTGGTGGATATCTCCTGATACCTAGTTGGAATAGAACCTCTAAAGATTTGAGGATTTAAAAACCTACAAATGTTGAATTCGAGTATTTATGGTTGTTAATAAAAACCCTCCCCTCTCTGCCTCCTAGTCTAATACAGTCCTTCCAAGACTTACCCCAGCTTCTACCCTCCAAGATGCAGTTCTCTCATTGTCTCTGATTCTTTCAACTTGACTTTCAAACCTGACAGATTTTCCCAATCTGGAGGTAAACATCATTTGTCCTGAGCCTCTCCAGCTGCTATGCTATTTTTCTCATTCCCTCTCCCACCAACTAGGCTATATCCGTTATTAATGAAAAGGGTCACCATTTATTGAGTACTTACTGTGTCCCAGGGACTGTGCTAAGCAATTTACATGCACTATATCTCATTTAATTTTCACCCACTGAAGCCGGTTCTGTTTGTATTTATTACCTCTTATTATTCCCATGTAACAGGTGAAGAAAGTGAGGCTTGGGGAGACAGTTATTGTTCAATGTCACACAATGGAGCAAATTGGAGAGTTCCTGCCCTTCAGTAGAAAACACTGCCTGCTTCAATAGCATAAGAGATCACTACACATTTCTTACCAGGAGGGCGACACACTGAAAATAACATTTTAGAATTGTTATTCTGATAATATCAGGTAAACTGAATCCGAGTTGGGTGAAGTAGAGAGACCAATTTGTACTATTTTGTAACATTCTGAGTGTACAGTGATCTAAATTAATGATGAAAGAGAAAGGGATAGGAAGAGGGAGAGAAAGGGGGAAATCCAAGAAATATTACGAAGTCACAAGTGCCAGAATCCGTTATTGCTAGGATTTAGGGGCTACAGAAAGAAGAGGAATCAAAACCAACTTCCTGATTCTCAGCCCAGGTCACAGGACAATAGAGGCATAGATAGTGTTCAGAAGGTGTGTCTACACACAACCTTAGGATTCAGGCTGATGATTTATAAAATCTTTAGGATGTTGGTGAGATTGTGGAGATGATGATCAGAGCCCATGGGGCTTAGATCAGGAAGCACTGGAAGGCATTTCCTTGAGCCAGCCCCAAATCCCCAAGGAGGAAGTTACATCCCTTCTCCAGAACCACGGCTCCATCACAAGCAGGTGTGAGCTTCCTACTAGGTCAGCCTGGCTTTCTCTGGACCCACACAGAGGAGGTGTCCATCTAAGGGGCTGACTAAAAAGCTCCACCAGAGCTGATCTCAGGTACATCTGCTCAAAGTGTACCTTAGATGACACCAGCTCCCACCCTCCATGACAGCCCCCTTTAAACTCCTTACTACCAAAATCTGTTTCTCGCTTAAAAGGATCTGATATTTTTTTAAATGTCCTTTCCAACTTTCACCAGTTATTTTCCCAGTGTTGGTACAGTAAAAACCAACACTTCATTTCTCCATAGGCAATTCCTAAGTTATCCAGGGATCTGTTTCCAAAATTCATTTGTGCATCCAATGTTTGGAGAAACACTGAACCTAGCAGATCATTTGCCAGGTGAGCCCACAATGAGCTATTTCACTTGAACTACAGGGCTCTTAGCACTATTTTAATTAGCCATAACCAGTGTGCTTATAAGGAAAATATATTCTGATGTTCCACCTGAGACACTGGGAACCTATTGCACCTGGTCTGCGGGTGGATTAGTGCTACCCAAGCGGGGGCGGTAGACATCAGACGGGGCGGGGAGGAGAGGCGCTATCTCCAGAGTCCAACCTTCAGCAGCGCATTTATATCTCTGGGGTATTAATGCTCCCAACTTCCCTTAGCTCCGCCTCGTTAAACTCCCCACCTTCCCCGCCATGTGTTTGCTCATGCTGTCCCCACTCTTTTCAGTCCTTCACAAATGGGACCTCCTCCCTTCTCTCTAGGCCCCAAACCAAGACTAACTTCTTCCAAGAAACCCACCTCATCACACAGCCCACACACTCTTTGCTTGATCTTTCCAGGACCGACCGAGAACTCCTCCAGCACCCATGTGTTCTTTGCACAAGTCCCTCTAGCCTTGCTCAAAGGGGACAGCTGTGCTTTAGTTACTTCACATAATGTTGAGGCAAGATTCTTATTCCTCAGTGCCTGAGCTCAGAACCACAGCCTCAGAAGGCACTTGATGAACCCTGGTGAAGTGAGCAGGGTGGTGTAAGGGAAGGTCACAAGCTTCGGTATCAAACACACCAGGGTTTGTATCTTCTCCAGGTGACCTTGGGCAATTGCTTAGTCTCTCTCTAAGACTCAGCATGTTCATCTGAAGATACGAAAGATGACTGAATCCCCCAGGAAGGGATATGAGGATTCAATGAGAAGCATACAAAGGGCCTTGCATGTTCTAGTGTGGAACAAAGGGCAGCTGTCACCAGGAATTACAGCCATCACCACACACATTCCTGAGCAGTCACTTCAGTCATGCCTTTGACTTGGACGAGAAAATACTTAGAACCTTTCCGAGCAAGATGTTTATTTCTTTTTTCTTTTTTTTACCTTTAAGAGTACAGTGTCTCCTAGATAATCTGTTTAGAACTCAATCACCTCAACCCACAAAGAAAGTTTTCTGAGCATTTAACAAATTTGTCACAATATGTAAGTATTCTTAAGTCTTGAGTGAAATTTTTTTGTTTTGTTTTGTTTTTTTAAAATACATTCATCATTTCCTTCATGTTTTGGCTCTCTGTGTCTTTTTCTTTTTTCACTTGAGGTACAGTTGATTTATAATATATATATTTTTTTTTTCCATTGACATTTTATTTATTTATTTATTTTTTATTTTTTTTTATTTTTTAACATCTTTATTGGGGTATTGAGTGAAAGTTTATAGCCAAGTAAGAGATCCACAGTGGAATTCTCAACAGTGGCCCTTCTGTATATATTAATTTCTGCAAATGCTTTAAAGAATGCTGGAATCTAGCAATGTCTCGAAATAAGACCTGGTGTGCTGCAAAGTGGGTTCAGCTGACTGGAACAAGCTTGAACCTTTGATAACTATTTAAAGAACACCCACCATGTGCGAGGTTCTCCACCAGGCACTTGGAACACATCAGTAACAAAATGGACATTCTAGATGGATATACTTAAATAACAGGCATGGCAGTTCCCTAATCTTAGTCAACTGGCTTAATGAAAGGTGGCTGTTGAACCTAACAGAGGAAAGGGCCAAAGGGGGACAAAAGCGAAAGAGGGAAGGAGGAAGCAGGAGGCTGCCGGTGTGTGTGAAGAGAGGACCCAGAGGCTTCTTTAGGATGGACAGAGCTCCTGCAGATGGAGGGTGGGAAGCAGAGGGAGAGGAGAGCCACCTTCCACTGCTTTGGACCACAACTCACTCAGGAGTTACCGCCTTCTCTAACTTTCTCCTGAAATCCTCTTTCCTCTTCCTCCTTTGCCTCACAGTGACTTACAGCCTGTGCAAGAAGGGGGCCACCGAAGTAGCTGCGGCTGCAGCTTTCATTCCTATTTATCTGCACCCCCTACAGAATTTTACCTTTGGCCCTATTCTAAACAGTTCTAACAAGGACGATTTTACCCATTAATTATATACAAATAGATTTGTTAACTCAAGCAGCAAAGCAAGAGACAAGGCCTAGCCCAGGAGGTGGAACACAAAGGTTTCAGTTTTGGTCCTGCTGCTTCAGCCACATGAGCTTGGTCAGGTCGCTGAACACCCGGAAACCGAGGTTCTCTCTTGGCCACTAGGGCTCCTGACTGCTGTCCTGTTAAAACTGGCCAATTCCATCAAATGTTCATTACATATTATAAAATGGTTCCTTTGGTATTTTTCACACATATATATATGATCCAATTTATGTAAAAATTATTTCAGATTATGCACATATATAAGGCTGTAAATACATCAAAAGGGCACAGAAGGATACAGACCCCGTTCTTTAAAATGATTGTCTCTGGGAGACAAGGACAGGGTAGGAAGCAGTGAGTTGGGACTTTGCAATTTTTGCTCTCTATATTTCCATAAGGTCAACTTCGTTTACGGCATTATGACTTATGTAATAAGAAAAAGACCAAAAGTAACCCAACCACAGTAGTGTATGGTATGGGCTAGAGAATGTGAAGACTGACTTATGTGTGTCTGTGGAAAAGTATTTCTTGATTCTTCTCCTCCCCTAAAACTGGAGATATAGAATGAAAAACACAATTTTTAGAACAGCAGTTATCTCGTGAGAGGGGGGAAAGGAAGGAAATGTGGTTGAGGAAGAACATGGGACTTTTTAATCCCTTCAGATGGCTGGTAGGCCCTTGAGTATTCGTATTATTTTTCTTTAAACCACACACACACACACACACACACACACATTCTATTATACACTATATATTGTTCTCTATGTTTGATATATTCCATAATAAAAATGTAAAAACAGGGCTTCCTTGGTGGTACAGTGCTTAAGAATCCACCTGCCAATGCAGGGGACATGGGTTCGATCCCTGGCCCGGGAAGATCCCACATGCCGCGGAGCAACTAAGCCCATGTGCCACAACTACTGAGCCTGGGCTCTAGAGCCTGCAAACCACAACTACTGAAGCCCATGCGCCTAGAGCCTGTGCTCCACAACAAGAGAAGCCACTGCAATGAGAAGCCCGCACGCCGCACTAAATAGTAGCCCCTGCTCACTGCAACCAGAGAAAGCCCGCGCACAGCAACAGAGACCCAATGCAGCCAAAAATAAAAATAAAAAATAAGTAAATTTTAAAAAATGTAAAAACACAAAAGCTGGGAAATATCCACCTATGTGCTTCAACCTTATCCCTTTCTCCAAGTTGATTTTGACAGAGTAAGACACTGATTTGCAGGGATGCCCCCTGGAGTACCTTCTCTGGGCCTGGATCTCCTCCTGGGCTATGTTCCTCTCCTGGGCCCGGGCTTCCTCCACGGCCTGGACTTTCTCCCGGTGGCACTCCATCATGATCCTCTGGATCCTGTGGACCAGGCGTTGCTCGGCAGCCAGGTGTTCTCGCTGCAGTTCTTCCTCCATGTTTTGATGCAACTCGATCTTGGTCTTAGATACCACTTCCTTAAGCAACAGAAAAACTAGGTTTAGGTGTTACAGCTTTGATGTTTAAAAACGTTATTCAAATCATAATTCATCTGCCCGATGGAATGTACACCAGTTAAGCCTAATGATTTAAAAGAAGAGTATTTTAAAAAGCAGACTCACAGATATAGAGATCTAACTAATGTTTACCAGTGGGGAGAGGGAAGGGGGAGGGGCAATACAGGGGGTGGGGACAAAAAGGGGATTATGGGGTTGTATGAAGTCATGTGTGTGAAACTTCTGAAAATTGTAAAGCACCATAGAATTTAAAGAATCTTTCATTCAATAAAAAAATTTTTTTTAATAAAAGTAAAGGAATACAGAAAAAAAATGGAAAAAGAAAAAAAACTGGAATGGTATATCCATACCATGGAATATTACATGGCTATTAAAAGGAAAAAATAAAGAAGAGTGTATACTATATGGAAAAGTTTCATTTATAATGATGTTAAGTAAAATCAGAAATGCACAAACTATTTAGCATAAAATACGTATATAGATAATATTGGAAAGGAATTGCAAAAAGAAAAGTAATTGGGTCACGGGTATTTTTTCTTGATTGTCCAAATATTCTATAGTGTCCTATTACCTTTATCCATGATTAGAAATACAGAATATGCTACTGCTTTAGGAAGTCAGTCCTGGAAAGTGGCAGAAATAATGACTATGAGAGTCTCCTGGGTAGGAGGACACCTGAGGCCCGGGCAGCAAGCACCGCACACGACCGCAGTCACAGGAAGCTGCCTGCCAGTCCCCACTGTCGTTCTGGAACATTCCAGCTCATTCAAGTTGAGGGGCTCTTCCTCGTTCACAAAGGGGACGGGGGCAAGGGCTCCACTGCGCCAAGGTAGAAGGACCTGTGGAGGCTTCAGCTGAGTAAAAAGAGGAGGCACTTGCCAAACCAGGACCTGAGGGAAACAGACTCCCAAGGAAATCTCTGTATCCCTGGAAATGTCCACTGACAGCACAGTGTGACAGGCACAGTGCTAGGACCGATGCTACAGACAGAAGGAGGCTGGAATCCTCCTCAGGACTCGCTGTCTAGCAGAGGAGACCCAGACCCCATCCTGCAACCAGTGGTTTAACCAGAAACACATGCCAGAAACGAGGGGCAATTAATTCCATCCAGGAGTTTTAAAACTTTCATTTAAAGGTCAGTTTGTATCTGTTTCAGGGATAAGAGAGAACATAAAGAAATAAAGGTGCTCAATATTCTGTGATAACCTAAATGGGAAAAGGATTTGATAAAGTATAGAAACAGGTATATGTATAACTGAATCACTTTGTTGTACACCTGAAACTAACACAACATTGTAAATCAACTCTGCTCCAATATTAAACAAAATTAAAAGAAAAAAAAGAACAGGGGCTTCCCTGGTGGCACAGTGGTTGGGAGTCCGCCTGCCAATGCAGGGGACGTGCCCCGGTCCGGGAGGATCCCACATGCCGCGGAGCAGCTGGGCCCGTGAGCCATGGCCACTGAGCCTGCGCGTCCGGAGCCTGTGCTCCGCAACGGGAGAGGCCACAACAGTGAGAGGCCCGCATACCGCAAAAAAAAGAATAAAAACAAAAGAAACTAAGTTATTTCACAGGGTGAGTCAGTGGAAGAACTAGGAACAAAAGCAGGATTCTCGCCCACCAGCTTCTCGCCCACTCGCTTCACTGCTGGCTGTGATGCTTGGGTCTTTCCAGAGATTCATCAGTTTATTTTCCTTCCAGAAATGCTGTCCGGGCTTATAAGACAGTGAGGTTCCTCCCTCCCTCCTCCTCCCTGTCTCCCAGAGACAATCACTGAGCAGGGAATGGAAGGTTCTGCTACAGGTAATAAGCCTGAGTCTCTATCTTGTAGTCAGAGGCCGTTGTTTAACGTCTTAGGGGATATTTTAACTTCTTAGGGATTATTTCTGGGTTTTCAAGTACATTTTCAGTAACTGAGATTGCTGAATGGTTGAACCTTAGATAGATGAAGTATTATCATAATACATTTCTATCTGAATCACAGAATTTAAAAATGACACACCAGCCCTTTATTTTGACTGGGTTCTGAACAAGGATTCAGAGAATTAAACCCTGTCCCTCTTTTATGTAATGGTTTAGTAAAACTAAAATCATTTTACTGCCTCATACAGCATGTCCAATACCTATTTAAAGCTACGAAAAAATAATTCAATGACCTGCTGTTTGGTGGTGTTCTTACTCAATGGAAAGCCTTCCAGTTAAATTACTTTTACTGAAATGCATTTTGAGTGAATCAGCCTCTATCTGGAGATAAGAGACAGCCTCATGAAATCCATCCTCTTTACTGTGCAGATGTTTGACAGACTTTCCTTTATTACACAATGCCTCCCTCATGAGAAGTTTCTCTCAGGTATCACATGGAGGAAGATCTGGGCCATCTGAGTACTGGATTTGTTTTTACCTCATGGACATGGTGATTCATACACTTTCCTCTGTGCATTGACTGTCAGAAAGCTCAAGGGCCAGCTATGGTAACTGCACAGAACCTAGTGGCATACAGACATTTCTAAGTTTCGGATTCACACCTGACTTCATTCTATTTCCTACTCTCATTTTCCTTTAGCTTCCATTTTATTATTTACTTTTTAATATTATTGTATTTGAATAAGATAATATTAGCACCTTTTCAAAATCCTATCTGTCCATTGGACAAGACCTGGAAATTTTATTTAACAGCAAGCACCTGACACCCAAATTCTTAACATCACAGAAGAGCAATACCTGGTGATTTCTATGTCCCAGAATGTAATGCTGTTTGGTTCTAGAAGAACTTGGTTTTCTGCTCTCTATACGGGTAATCTCAAACTTTAATATGAGAGAATATGTGTGATTTTATATCTGTTTATATCAAACTTTAATATATGTGAGAATCACATGGGCTGCTGGTTAAGTAAGCTGCCAATGACTCTGTAGGTCAGGTGGAGCCCAGGAATCTGCAGGTAAGTAGGCTCTAAGGAGGTGGTTCAGAGACACCCCCTGAGGAGCAATAGCAATGTCTGTCTGGGGACCCTACAGCTGAAACAACCCTCCACATCCCTCTTAGACAAATCACTCATTCATCAACATAATAATAAAAAAAAAAAGTCCCTGAGACTTTTTTAGAATAATTTGGAAAGGTCAACCGCCCTCTTTAAACTTTCTTAGGACTTCTCCTATTTTAACACGAAGTGCATCAACTCAACCCAAAGACTATATGGGGTACCATCAAATTACCTAGAGTAAGACTAGGAGGCAAGCTCCTTGAAACAGGCATCACAACTAAGCTACCCTTGCATCATCACAACCTAATGCCAGGAGTGATATTTAAAATGTGGATCCTCTGGCTGCAGCACAGGGCAGGGTCCTAGAGGCCCACACCCATGGAAACGGTTGCCCCTTCAAATTGCTGGGCTGTGGGAGGTCCAGGGTGGTGAAGGTGTTAGGGGCCCGGGGAGTGGTGATTTATCAATTGATAGAGGAGTATTTCCCTATTCAAGAACCAGTGTGGCCGTTCCGGTCCCAGCTAGCTGAGCAGCAGGCCTATCTGGACGTGCTATAAATGCTCCCCTCCCGTTTCGAGGTGAAATCAGGGATGCCCATGGAGCCAAGCAGGGAGGGTCAACCGTCCCTTAGGAGCCCTGGGGTGGAGCTCCCTTTCCTGCCAGAAAGTTTTCTGAGGACAGTCTATTTAATCTCACCTGGTACAGAGCTGATACATGGCAGGTGCTCACGGCCGAAACGAGAGACAAAAGGGCCCATGGTCCCTGAACTGTTTATTCGTTATGTTCTTATTGAATTAGGCCAAACCTGGGTCCACACTTCTGCCACTTTCCCTCCAGCCTCTGCCCAGGTATCATCACACCTGCATCGTGCCCTGTCCTGTCCCTCCCATGACCCACGTGTGAAAATAGTTGTTTTTTCCTTTGAGCAGAGTTTGGGACTGAACTGTGTAAGGAACCCCTGGGTCTCTGCCTGGACAGTTTACCAACTACCCAGAGTTGTGTACTGGAACAAGTTACAGGCTGGAAAGAGTTCCCCTCATTGTGTGACCTCTGGTCCTGCAGGAAATACCTGAGAAACAGAGGCCCCTCTTGGCATCGCGGTAAATGCAAACTTAGGAAAAAGGATGCAAACAGAGAGCTCAGGAGAAGGTAGAGAAGCGCCTGCTTCCTCTGTTCAGCCCGTTTTCACACTTACAAAGTCAAGGCACTGTGCTGGCACCGGGACAAGGGTGGTAGCGAGGCAGACATACTCTTATGAAGGCTGCAGGCAGATGGCGATCAGATATTCAACAAATAATCAATCCTCCAATCTATTTACTTACACCAGTGCTAGGTGGTGATGCTGTTAAAGAGGGTGGGGTGACAAGGACAGTGTATGGGTAGCAGGACAGAGCTGATCAGGTAAGGTCTCCCTTGACCAGTGATGTCTGATGTCTGATGAAGTGCAGGAAGAACATTCCGGCAAAGTCCCCAAGGTGGGAAGGAGTGTGGTGCATACAGGTTTGAGGGTCCAGAAGAAGGGCACTGAAAGGAGGAAAGAGAGCCAGTGGCAAGGGATGTAGGGTCCGGCAGGCAGGGTGCCTCCTTCATACCTTAACCCCATAAAGGTTTGGGTTCATTATATCAAAGGCCATCCATTATGCTTCATTATGTCAAAGGGATTCTCTTGCACCCATGCATCACTGTTGCCATGGAGTCCAGCATACCTTCTGTGAAAATCCTGGGCCTCCCAACCAACCTCCATGGAACACGCCAGAGCTTTTTACTAAAGTACCGCTAAAAAGACAACAAACAAGCCACTATAAAAACCTGTAAATCTTTTTGATGTTCCTCTTTCAGAATCTGGATTTTCATTTTGTGCATATCACTTGCTTCTTCAAGGGCTTTCTTCACTGCTTCTCTTTGGCGTTCATCTGCCTTTGAAAGAGTTCATTTATTTATTAATATGTATCAGGTTTTCATGTTTAATGAAAACTAGCAACCACCCTGGGGCCTCTGACTACTGGCTCCGTTCCCATCTCAAACCTCCCATAGCAAACTAGGCCTCAGCCAGAGATGCCCTAACACGGCCCAAACCGTGGCAAAAATCACTGTTTCAGGAATTGCTAAGGAGAGCTTTACTGCAGGCTGCTAGGGTGTCTTTTTTCTTTGGCACTTTATTTCTTGCTTGATTGACTATCAAAGTCATGTATGCTTATCGCAGAAAATCTGGAAAATACAGAGAAGTGGAAAAATGCACAAAGCCTGAAATTACTGAGAAGGGAGGCCGAGTACCATCCCAGATCCCCTGCATCAGGGTCTTCAGAAAGAGGTTTCATTATTTTATTTCAAGAGAATGCCCAGAACATTAGTTATATTTAAATTGTATATTGTTATACTTATATTTAAATTGTACATTATTCACAAAAGCATTCTCTTGTGTTAGGGTAGTTAATAAATGGCTCACAATCAATTTAAATTTTATTATTATTGATAAGGATACATGTCTAGTAAGATTTTTATTTCTATTACCCTTTGCACTGGAGCATTTTGTACTTTCAAAGTACTTTAATACCAAGCTTTTGCTGGGACTAATGCTGGGCAATTCCAACACTCTTTGCTATGATTTTTACTTTATAGAGAAACCGAGAAATAATGTTCTAGCACTGTGGGCTGTCCCGCTCTCAAGGAGCGCTAATTTTCTTTAGGAAGTCACATATGGCATTTTCTCTCTAACTGGAAGAAGTGGGAGCTGGAGGATTGAGATTCTGCTTCGCTGAAGTGTCTGGGATCTGACCATGAGCCCCAAGACCCTCAAATTGCCTCCACGGCCCTCGGCAGTCGCATGGACAAGGTGTCAAGGACTTTGGAGCGAAGGGGAGCTGGGAGAGGGGGTGAAAAGGAGAGTCAGCTATGACGCAGCATTTGGAAAAAACAGGCACTTAGGGGCATTACACACTGCACAAACGAATGGTCTACTATATATTAAATATTAAGCAATAATAAACAACTACAACAAGAATGTCTTTTTAAAAAGGTTTTAATCCCATGAGAATAAAGGGAGCAGGCAGGAGTCATCCACACAGAGGGGCAATTTAGACAGAAGGAAGCTCCTGATGATTTCTACTTCTTACTTAGCACCTACTGTGTGCCGGGCATGTTATTTCATTGAACTCTCTCAATAATCCTACAGAGTGAGTATTACTGTTCCTCCTTTACATCTGAAGATGCCAAGACTACGGAGTTGAAGAACTTGCTACCCTGGTCCCACAGACGCCAGCATTCAAGTCAGTTCTGCCTGACCCCACTCTTTCATACAAATCCAAAACGTGAAAGAACCACAAAGATGAATTCAGGTTAATTTCCAACTTCCTTTACCTTCACCCATACGTCAGCTTCTGCTTTTGCAATACGTTCTTTGAGTACAGCTTCTTGAAACTGCTCTCCTTTATTCAGAATATCTGTCCCAATATCTGTGTGTTTGAAGAGAAAAAAGAAATCACAAATATCCACAGACTGTTTCTTGGCTTTCCTTTTCACTGTTATCGAGTTATTTATTAGAGTTATCTAAGAAATATATCCTTTCAGGAAATGTCAGGCTTTAAAGATACCCATGAAAGGGGTAAGTTCTTCCCTAACTGATTAAGAGGGAACTCACAGCACTGTGTATCAGACCCAGTCCACAGGGAGGCAACTGGGGAAGTAAAAGTAAAAAAAAAAAAAAAGTAAAATAAAACTAAACACCAAAGAAAAAAAGTACACATAAGGTCTGCACCTGAATTAACAGTATTGATCCAACACCAATTTCCTGGTTTTGACAGTGTAGCAGCATTATGTAAGGCATCAATGAGTGAAGCTGGATGGGAACTCTCTGTTCTATTTTTAAAACTTATCAGTCTTCAACTATTTCCAAATAAAAAACTATTAAAATATGTAAAAAATATTTTAAAACTTAAAAGAAACCCCACAAGCTGAGGGCCGATTCTGAAGGTTCTAATTTACTGGGTCTGTGTTGGATTAGTATTATAATAGGGAAGAACAAATCTGACTCCATATTAGATCTGTTTCTTTTACTTTAACCTTTGTATTCTATTGCTTTTGCTTTGAGTTAAGAATGTTGCCTATAGCCTGAAATTTACAGGATAGCCCATTCTCAGGGTTCTGACCTTTAAAGGTGTTAACACTTCCCCATTCATATAGAGATAAAAAGTTGCAGAACAGAGAATAAAATTTGTCTTGTTGGAGGTTACAGTAACATCATGACCTGACCTACCCAGACAGCTGCAAGAACAAAGGATTCCTGCACCAAGAAGTCTGCAACAACCAGCCACCTCCCCCCACCCCCTGCCCCTTTTAATATAAAAGAAGCCTGATTTCTGAATGGGGTACCATGGTTCTCTAGGACATTAGTCTGCAATCTTCTGGGTCTGCTGGCTTTCCAAATAAAGTCGTTATTCCTTGCCCTGAGTCTCCTGATTTACTGGCCTGTTGTATGGTGAGCAGAACAGGTTTGGATTCGGTAGCAGTATTTTTTTTTTAATGGGTAAATTTGCTTTATCAGATAAATTCAGTTAATGCAGAATTTCACTTTCTTAATTTAAAGATTAAAGATAATGTATCTTTATTATACATTCTAAGATTTCAATTATTTTAAAACCCACTGATTCATTTAATATTGCAATTTGCATGGCAATAAACAATGAGTTCTAACTTTCTTAAAGGTGTCTATAGCAATTTAAAATAGCAATGAGTCTTCTTTTCAGTTTGTAGCACCTGACTTAAGACCTTTATAAAAACAGATTTTAAATTCATTTAATGTACTCATTAAGATTCATTGTCACTGTTTCTCTTGTAAGGAAAACAAATTTCAACTATTTCCCAGACTATATTGAGCAATGGTGTATATTATTTTCAAATGGTTAGCAGAATTTTACTCACATAAATTTATAGCCAGAAAAAGAACTCAGCCTCTCTGAATGCCTATCCACTCAAAACAATGATGAAAATAATGTATAAAATGGATTTGAGGGTCTGACCTCCTATTTAACACTATCAAACACTTTCCAAGTAGTCCTAGAAAATATTTTAAAATATATGCAAATATTCTACCATATGACAAACCATCATTTCTTTAACCATTTCCCAATTGTTCATCTTTATCATTTGTAATTTTTTTACATCATGAGTAGCACTCTGAAGAACACTCTCAACCATAGTTTTAAGCCAGACATTATATCTTTAGGATAATGTCAAGAAGTGGGTCATGGGCTTCCCTGGTGGTGCAGTGGTTGGGAGTCCACCTGCCGATGCAGGGGACGCGGGTTCATGCCTCAGTCCGGGAGGATCCCACATGCAGTGCCCATGAGCCATGGCCGCTGAGCCTGCGCGTCCGGAGCCTGTGCTCTGCAACAGGAGAGGCCACAACAGTGAGAGGCCCGCATACCGCAAAAAAAAAAAAAAAAAAGTAAAAAAGAAAACTTCAGTACCAAATGACCAAAATTTTTTATTTGACTAAATTCTATTTCATGCATAAGCATGACACCCTCTCCTGTTTATTAGACTTAGGCAATAAAAAAAAAAAACCAAGCAGCCTTGTACAGAACAGTGAAAATGCCAGGGGTGAGGGTAGGCTACAGTTTTACTGTAGGATAAATATATATATATATATATTTTTTTTTTTTTTAAAAGTCCCTTTGGCCATATCAACAATCAGTTCAGATCATTAAATACAAATTTTCAAAATCGCTTCTTCACTTCTCCACGATCTTCAATGCTATTACCATCCACTTCTGGCCATTTTTCCTGAATGACATCACTTATGTCATCTGTAAAGTCTCCCTGAATGATGATTTCATCCTCCCCTATTACTGAGGCACCCAGGAGAATTTCTGAGCAAAAATCCTTTGTGCTTCTTCAAGATCGATTTCAAAAGTTGCAAGGCCACACACTCTTGTTACATATTTCTTCTTTGCTCTGGGAATTTTGGCTATCTAACCCTTTGTAGTACAGTCTTCTTTTTTTGTTTTGTTTGACCCCTTCCACCTCTTTTTTGTTTTTTCTTCTCTTCCTCTTCCCCTGCTGTTCCTTGACCCTCACTTCTTGTTCCAGCTTCTCATTTGGGTGAATTTTCTACAGTAAGTTTTGCACTCATTTTAAAAATTCTTCTCTAACCATTGTCGACATTTAGCAACATCAGACATATATTCACAGTACTCTGTTGGTAATGAATAGACTCCGCAGCAAAGGACTTGAAGTGGGTAATCTGCACCTAACTTGGTATTGCTCCTCGGGTCTCCTTTGCAATCATGTCCACCGGATTCAGAAATGTCAGCAGCCATTTCAAAACCCGGGTGGTTGCACAGTCTCCGCCATCTCCGCGCCCGCCACTACCGCCAGCTGAAGTGACACATGAGACTCCTCTTCCCCGGCCAGAGCCGCCCAAGAGCTCGGTAACAGTATTAAATCCAATGAGTCTGTGTTTCGATTTAAAAGTTCTATAGGACACTGCCAGGGTTGAGAACTACTCTATGCAATACTCATTAGCATTTATACAGACATTTCAACATGCTTTAATTTATTCACTTAATGTTTGGATTCAGATATCCTAGGAGGCATAAGGAATCAACCAATAAAAGCATATTAAGAATAGATATCCACTGTTCTGGGTGTAAAAGGTCAAATCATTATAGAGATAATAATTAATAAGTCATACTAAACAGTTACTAAAAGTTAAAATCAGTTATCAGTTTTGGTATTGGTATTTTTAGAGGATGACCCCAATTTGATCTCCTGCTACATTTTAGCTTTTTCAAAACACCGTCCATTCTCTAGCTTCTTACGTGTTCAAAGGTCAGGAGTGAAATTTAATCACCACTAATTTAACATATTAAGGAAGAGAGGATATGAGAAGTATTTTGAGAGTTCTTAGGAAAACACTTTTAAGGCTTAAAGTCAGACTGAAAAATCTGACGCAGATGAGGAGAAAAGGAAACGTGTAATTACAACTTGATTTGCTTACTAGAAGTGTATATATGGGGGAGGGATAAATTGGGAATTTGGGATTAACAGATACACACTACTATATATAAAATAGATAAACAAGGACCTACTGTATAGCACAAGGAATTATACTCAATATCTTGTAATAACCTATGATGGAAAACATTCTGAAAAAGAACATATATTTATATAAAAGAATATATATTTTATATAAATATATTTTATATAAAATATATTTATATAAAATTTTAAAATATTTATATAAATTATTATATATATAAATGAATCACTTTGCTATATACCTGAAACATGGTAAATCAACTATATTTCAATAAAATTTTTTTAAAAATACAAAAGGATTTAAAAGAGGAAGAAGAAGAAGTGTATATATAGTACATATTCTGTTACCCAGATCTACCTACTTTTATGTCACCAGCTACTAATATAGTTTTACCATACGCTAACGCATATATATATGGAATCCAAAAAGAAATGGTTCTGATGAACCTAGTGGCAGGACAGGAATAAAGATGCAGACATAGAGAATGGACTTGAGGGCAGGGGCGGGGAGGGGGAAGGGTAAGCTGGGACGAGGTGAGAGAGTGGCATGGACATATATACACTACCAAATGTAAAATAGATAGCTAGTGGGAAGCAGCCGCATAGCACAGGGAGATCAGCTCGGTGCTTTGTGACCACCTAGAGGGGTGGGATAGGGAGGGTGGGAGGGAGACGCAAGAGGGAGGGGATATGGGGATACAAGTATACGTACAGCTGATTCACTTTGTTATACAGCAGGAACTAACACACCATTGTGAAGCATTATACTCCAATAAAGATGTATTAAAAAAAAGAATATAGCTTCTTTCACCCATGTATTAAGGTATTACTTAGAGATATTTCCTCTCCTATGAGTATGGAAGGTGCCCAATTATGAGGAAGGGCAAAAAGAACTCTGTTACTATTATGTGCCAGGCTTTAGAATAGGTACAAATATTTCATTAAAGCCTCAAGACAAATCTGCAAGATAAGTATTAACATACCTATTTACATATAAGGAGACAGACTGAGAGGCTAAGCATACTCTCAAGGCACAAAACTGGGAAGTAGAGAACTGGATTTCAACCCACATTCTTCTCATGCCAAACAGACACCCCTGCAGGACAAGCAACTTTGATCAGGAGGGCTGATCAAAGTCTACATATCAGGAAGAATGTCATATAATTCTATGAAACATTAGAACAAAGAAAAACAGCAAAGTCACTTACCCAGTATATCTTTGTGAGTGTAAAAGCGTGTCTTAAGTGGCTTGTACTCATGGATCCGTTTGAAGATTTCCCCAAAGGGGGCTGGTGGAATTATCTTATTACATACAGCACAGCAAACAAAGTCTGTGTAATTCAGATTTCTGATCATAATTAAATTTGTCTTTTACTACGTACAGTTAAAACACTCTTAGGATCAGAAAAAGTCATTTTAAGAAAAGCTAGACGTTTGAGAAAGCTGGAAGAGGTTCAAGGTTTGAAGACAATGCTAGAGGCTTGCAAGGATTAAATGATTTGCCATGATTAGGTAGTGGTTATGTGCCTAACGGTAACAAACGGTACTGAAAGCCTCTGCCATATAAGGTCTGGGCACTGGATTTGGGAAGATTTAAGCAGCTGCTCCCTCCTAGACTCTAGATTAAACTGTTAACTTACTTAGCAACTGTTGCTACGTAAGACAAGCTTTGCTCATAAAAGCGACTAGAAATAATGACTAAAGGGAACATGGTACAGCTGTTCATTTCCCAGATACCTTCTGTATTAGTTTCCTTCTGGGGCTATTACAAATTACCACATATTTAGTAGCTGAAAACCACACAAATTCATTCTCTTGCACTTCCGGAGGTCAGAAGTCCAAAATGAGTCTTATGGGGCTAAAATTAAGATGTTAGCAGCACTGGTCCTTCTGGAGGCTTTAGGGGAGAATCTGTTTCCTTGCCTTTTCCAGCTTTCAGAGGCCATTCCTTGGCCCATGGACTCACATCAATATAGCCTTTTCTCTTCCTGTTTGCAGGGTGACATTGCTTCTTCCTCTGATCATCTGCCTCCCTCTTATAAGGACTTCTGTGATTCTATCAAGCCCACCCAGATAATAAAGGATAATTTCCCCATCTCAAAATCCTGAACTTCACCACATCTGTCAAGACCCTTCTGCCATATAATGGAACATATTCACAGGTTCTAGGGATTAGGATCCAAACATCTCTGGGGTGGCTGGGGGAAAAGGAGTATTATTCAGCCTGCTATACTTTCTGTTAAATGGTTTGCTTTAAAGAATTGATTTTTGGGGCTTCCCTGGTGGCGCAGTGGTTGAGAGTCCGCCTGCCGATGCGGGGGACGCGGGTTCGTGCCCGGTCTGGGAAGATCCCGCGTGCCGCGGAGCGGCTGGGCCCGTGAGCCATGGCCGCTGAGCCTGCGCGTCTGGAGCCTGTGCTCCGCAGCGGGAGAGGCCACAACAGTGAGAGGCCCGCGTACCAAAAAAAAAAACAAAAAAAAAAAGAAGTGATTTTTTTAGGCCAGAAAAGGAGGGAGTTTAATTTTTTTCAGGTTATCTACAAATATGTTTTTGTGCCATGGCAATAAAACTGGGAAATATCACAAGTACCTTAAAGGAAAATTTACTTTCATTAAGCAAGCACTCAAAATTACTAAGCTTGGTTTTAAAAATCAGAGTTAACTAATTTGTTGTCCTTGTTTTAACATGGAAAGTCCTACATCTCAAGAACCCCCTCAGTGCCTGGCAAACTGGGACAGACTGGTCACCCGATAAGGGTATAAAATAATAAGTAACTTCACTGTTTACGTTAGGAAATTCTTATCAACTTGTCAGTTGAACTGCTCGCTCCTCTGGGCAAATAGCTCTTCTATCAGAAGAGATTGCTTCCCTGGGCAAAGAGGTCGCTTACACCTTATCAAAGGTTAACTTACCAAGACTTGCTTCAAGACTGAATCTCTTACGTTACTGAGTTTGCCCAATCTCAACCAGATTCCTGCATTGGAAAACATTCCTCCTACCACTTGAACCCAGACTACAAAAGGCTGTAATTATGTTGCCCTGAGCATCCCCTCCTTAGACAACTGACTCTGTCAAAGTGGCATTTTCCTTTAGAGAAGGAATGAAAACATCAACACACAGCCAGGCAGCCTTTGACACTGCACAGAGAAAGACTGTGCTACAGAACTTGTAACCACCCTGTAAATAGTATCACAGTCAGGTTACTTGCTCCTAAAATTCAATGGGATTCTTCCCGTGCACTACTCTTCACAGCTGTGTGCCTTGCAGAATCTACTGCTACTCTGGTTCATTCACACACGTCACATGGCTTAAGGCTGCCCTCTGTCCAGTTCCTGATGCCCTTCTTTGCTGCAATTATCTCCTGATAGCTCACCTAACTAATACCTCCCTCACCAAATAGCAACTTATTTTGTTGACTACTAGAAGAACTCTAAAGACAATGATGTGACATTAAATGCGTAAGTTGAAAACAGAACTCTAGTTCTTTAATAACCAACAGGAGAAGATAATACTTTAAATTAAAAGGCACTTTATACCTCCTAAGTGCATTTTAAACTACTTTAAGTGTACTATACAGAGACACCTAGCAAAGAAATATTTAGGGCTCAGTAGTAAAGATTTAATTTAGTTGCATGTAGATAATTAGCTAAGCTCTTTAATATTTACAAATCAGACATAATTACATTTTCATGTATCTTGTAAAACCACAATAAAGCACTGGAAATTAAATATTACATTATGATGATAAACTCGGCCTGTGCAATTATTTTACTTGTTAATAATAAATGAAACAAAATTTCAGAGATGAGATTTATTACTGAGCTCCAATTCCAATGATTTGGAGAATGTGGTAAATATCTAGAAATGAAACAGGTCTAGAACACTCATCAGAAAGGTATATACATTTAAGGTAAACCCATGTTCTTATGGTTATTTTAAAACTAGACCTTCTTTTCTTATCTATTGAGTAGTTCTAGTTTTTAAATAGCTGTAAGAACATTTGGTCTACATCTATAATATCACTGTAACATTTACAAAAACCAAAACAGATAACGGTTGTAGTCAAATAAAAACATCATACTCAGTCTAACATACTTTCTTTTTTAGAAAAGAAAAACTCCAATTACTTTGGGTTATTCTCTCATTTAATCTTTATTTTAGTAGTTGAATGGGAGTATCTTTTCAATTAAAATAAAATTCTGGACCAAAATTAGCTGAAATGGAAAATCGAAATATAAGACCCATCTGTGACTCTGTAAAAACTATTTGTTTTTAACTGCAGGCTTTACGATAATTTACAATTATTTTTTTCTTCACAAATATAGGTTCTATGCCAGGTAGAAAATGAACACTGTCCTTGCAAACAGCAAAACAAACTAAACACAACAGTTGTAAATGCACAATTACCCTTAAAATGTTAAAAATACCATGTAAATTTAAGAGCATCGGTACTTTTTATTACATAGAACTTAATTCACAAAAGTGACTTCCATTCTCATGGTACTTTTACAAGAGGATTTAGTCAAGAAAAAATATTGAGCAGCTCTTTCTGTGGAAAAAGAATGCGATAATGGCTACAGTTCTGAAAGGACAACATTCACTATAGTGGCCTGGCTGCAACCGCAATCCTTCTTCCTCAGTAGCATCTTCTAGAAGAAGAAACAAGATACTGTGTGGTGCTAGCTTCACCTGAAGATTTCAGAGTCCCCAGTAAAGCTCCATCTGCAGTAACCAGCACTGTTAATCCCACTTAGATGTTTTCCTCCTCATATAACTGTGTCCCTCACTATCAATAGCTTCATAGAGGTCCTTCTTATTCTCCTGTGTCGCATGTAGATAACCGATATAAGCCACACAAAGTGAAAGGGTTATCAATCCGAAAGCCATTACAGGTTTGTTCTGTCAAAAGGAAAAAAATTATAAGACCTCATTAAGACTCATCATTTGAGGAGACTCAAGTATCTCTTGCACTTTCCTCTTGACATGCCAAGGCTTTAGTACCACACCAGCATTCCTATGGTATTAATTTCATTTATAAAAATTTACCCAGTTCTTTATTCAATTAACTCAACTCCTGATAATTTAGAGACTACAGAAGACTCTTGCTTCTTCTCTCCACAGCTGGGACATCTCCAACCTTCACCTTTAGGAAGGTGAGGCTGGAAGAGGTGCGAGGGAAACGAGCGGCATGAAAACTGGTCCAGTGCTCAGAGTTTTCAGTGTTATCTGTGTGATGTGGAAAAGTTGCTTAACTTCTCTGGGCCCAAGCTCCCCACTTGCAAACCTTAGTTAATTTTATTAGGAAGTGAGGAATGAAGTATACATGCTATTCTTCTCACCTGAGTTCATGGATAACTGGCAGAAACCCTGTCATGTCATATACCATGTACAGCAAAATATACACGATCTTCTCTGGGAACTTATTCTATTACCTCAAGAAATTTAGTGACTGGAAGAGAAATGCTATTATAAATAACCTTGATTTGCTGCTGTAAAATCCAAGATCCTAAGAGGCAAAGTGATGCAGCTTTGAATATTTTTTTTTTAAAAGCTTTTTAAATTTGTATTTTCTGCTTCTGTCACCATACCTGTTGTATTACTATTATTTCAAATCTTAATCATCAAAAAAATAAAGGTCAAACCTCAGAGCAGTTTAAATTTACAATTCTTTTAAAAATATTTCTTACTTTATTTATTTATTCATTCATTCATTCATTTATGGCTGCCTTGGGTCTTTGTTGCTGCGCGCGGGCTTTCTCTAGTTGCAGCGAGGGCTACTTTTCGTTGCGATGTGTGGGCTTCTCATTGCGGTGGATTCTCTTGTTGTGGAGCACGGGCTCCAGGCACATGGGCTTCAGTAGTTGTGGCACACGGGCTCAGTTATTCCGCGGTATGTGGGATCTTCCCGGGCCAGGGCTCGAACCCGTGTTCCCTGCTCTGGCAGGCGGATTCTTAACCACTGCACCATCAGGGAAGCCCTAAATTTACAACTCTTAAAATGTATTTGGCAATTAAAAGAATACATTAGGGACTTCCTAATGTATTAGGAAGAGAGAGAGCTGAATCCCACATGCAGCAACGAAAGGTCCCACATGCTGCAACCGGGACCTAGCGCAGCCAAATAAATAAATAAATATTAAAAAAAAAAGTCTTATCCTGGATGTATGTCTTACAGGTTTAATGAAGAGCTCTGGATTCACAGCTCGAAATAAGGTTGTGGAGCGGACCCCTCTGAGCCCTGGGTTTCCCAGGTCTTTTTCCTTGGGTGGCTCCTTTTTAAAGGCTGGAGGCTCAGGTGCTGAAGACATCTTGACTAACGATGATTTAGTACCTAAAAATAAAATGAGAAACTTTTTTTCCCTTCCAGATTATGTTCTTTTGATAATGCTCTTTAAGAAACTGATTCCGTATTCATTCTTTTTTGAATTCCAGTCCACTTTTCCACCAAAAGTGATGGTCAATTATTTTCTTCCTTTGTATAACACATACTTTGTAAATGGAACTTCAGGTTTTGCTTGGTAAAATGGCTATTTTATTTTTCATCTCTTAGACCAAACTAGTGAGGTATGCAAAAATTGTCTTCCTACTTTTCCAGGAGGCTAGATAATTTGTTTTTTGGTCTGAGTCACACTGTATCTTGTTATATGAAGGGGGTGCTAAGGGTGGAAGTGGCCGGTGGGTTATCCACACCTTCTTAATTTCCTTCCATTTTCACCTTCCTCACCTTCCAATAGCCCTTCAGGACTATTCCATTGCTCCCACCCCCTCGGGCTTCCTCCACCGGCAACCCCAGCACCAGCACCAGACAGAAGAGTGAGCAGCTGTCAGTCCTCACTCCCTCTCTGCCTATCATCCACTCTGGAAACAACCACTATGCTACCTCCTTAATCTGAATACCCTTAATTACTCAGAATTTATCCTATTAGATCCGAGTATGTCTTTTGGCTTCTGGTTCTCCCAGCTGGAATGTCATCATTTTGTGAATATTTTTCTCTTCTAGATACTATTAGGCAAAAGCTTATTCCTACCATTCCTGCCACGGAATGCTTGGGGGCGGGGGCAGAGTTGCAAGGGAGAAGGTAGGGAAAGACACCTTCCAAAGAAAGGCTGAACTTGATGACAATATAATAAAATTCTTCAGGGGAAATGCTGAACCCTCTCATATAGTAAATGTTATGAAATGAGAGTCAAACACTCACATTTAAACACTCATTGGGGCTTTGTTTATTCAAGTATTCTTTAAGTCTTCCATTTTATAGTCTTTATAAAAGCAATATTTTTGCAACTTTATTACTTATGGAGAAAGTTAGGAGTTCAGTTTTTTCAAAACATGCTGATTATTCAATGGGAAAGCTCAACACATGTGTGATCCAAACACAGGAGTGTGCTATAGGCACAGCAGGTGGCCATTAGCAAGAGGATCTTGCGTTTCACTCCTTCCATCCCCTTGCTAACCATTCTCAGCCATTCATTAAATAAACCTCCCATACTTTGGGCATGTGTATTGGTTTCATAATCACTGGGGAGCAGATAAACATTTCTGAAGCCCTGGGGGTTAGCTGACTTGCCAATGACAAGTGGTCTCATCTCTTCTGACCACGATGCATTACAGCAGAATAGAGCAATCATCAACCTCTGTTTACCTCTTCTGCGAAGTCTACCTTGGACACGAAGTATATGAGGTAACAACTCGTAAAACACTTATTTCATCAGCATTTAAAACATCATTCAAGCTGTAACAAGCAATTTTTTAAAAATTTCAACTGCATTCAAGTTACTAGTTTTCTCTACTGAACAGTGTTTTTTTCACTACAGACAACTTCTGAATCATTCCATAACATGCCTGAAATTTGTTCAGCCAGCACACACTTGCTTGAAACTCATCATGCCCAAGGTTGGCAAAAAAAATCCAACATTTTCTGCAGAACCAGGGGTCCACTCATATGCCCAACTCTTACGTGAACTTCTTGAAACTGTCGAGTGAAGAAAAACGCGCAAGCTACAAGTTGCAAGTTAAGTTTTATTTGGGGACCTTACGGAAGACTGACTATAGCCTGGAAGACAGCCTCTCAAGCCTCTCAGATATATTAATATTTATATATATACACATGCAAGATTCTTTGGTCTCCTCTTTCCTTACCCGAACCTACATTTGCTTTGTGACGAATCAAGCAAATAAGCAATCAAGGTAGTATTTATTATACTGCAACCTCTAGACATCCACATTCTGTTTATGTTAAACTGTTTATGTTAAACTCTTTGCCATAAATGACAATTAAAGAACACCTGGGCTAGAAACCACTGCAAATGTTTATTGAAAGGGCCTTTTACAATTTAAAGAATTACCTACTACACTATATTTTAAAAGATTTAATATACCACAATTTCCATTGTTTGTGATACTTTGGGGAACGTATGAAAATAATATTTTCCATTATATATCATTCTTTTACTGGGCCTGGAATAAGACAGCTCAGTTCTATTGCTGCTTCTCCTTTAATGAGCCACAGTCACTGAAGATGTTACAATAATTCTCCCCAAACTGCATAACTTGTTTATGCCACTGATCAAACTAATAAAGAATTTTAACAACCTTCTGTACTTTAAGTAAAAAGAAACAGATTACTGAGGCCAAAAAGGGCCTTAGTAGGTAAGAATTTGTGATATATAAGAACAGAACAAAGCAGAACATTTTTTTCATGTAAGAGAAGGTTCTTCTGCATCTCCTCACATGCCCAGCACACAGAGCTGTAGGAATATGCCTGGGGCAGAAATTCAAGATGTGGTGGCTGAATAAATAAAGAATGTAAGATGCAAAACCTTAGCTGTTTCTTCACAGATGTGTTAATTGTCAGTGCTTTTTGGGAAAACAAGTCTCTATTTCAAAAGCAAACTTTTAATCTAGTAGTAAAAGCTGACTAGCTACTTTCAAGTGCAGAGCTAATATAATTCCATTTTAAAAAGCTGCAGCACCGTAAGTTCAAAGCACAGCAACAACCTATTCCAACACTACCACTCGAATCAGCAGTACCTAAGACAACAGTTAACATCTAGCACACGTCCATCAGAACTTTCTAAGTCTCCCCATCACTTTCTCCCACTTCTTCCCTTACTCTTTTTTTCCCACTGCAGGTAACTAGCACTTTCTTATTGGTATATGATACTGACCAATCTCTAGATACACTTGCTTTCAAGATATGTTTATTTGTAAGCTAGGACCCTCATTTATTGCATTAAAAGGGGAATCGTCGGACTTCCCTGGTGGTCCAGCAGTTAAGACTCCGTGCTTCCAATGCAGGGGGCCTGGGTTCGATCCCTGGTCAGGGAACTAGATTCCACATGCCGCAACTAAGACCCAGCACAGGCAAATAAATAAATATTACACACACACACACACACACACACACACACACACGACCCAGCACAGCCAAATAAATATTACACACACACACACACACACACACACACACACACACACACACACACACACACACACAAGCAAGGATGATGGGAACCTGGCACTGAACTGCTCCTGGCTAAGTAATTTGGTGATTAGTTTCTGTGTGGGCCCACCTGTAAAACGCTCAATAAGTCAGGTAACCCAGGGCCACCACCTGGCTGTGCAATCTGTCCAGGTGCCCCCATTCTTATTTCTTCTTCATTTTTCCATCACCCATTTGTTGTTCCCTTATCAACTCATGAAAAGAAACAGTTGTATATAATTTTTTTAAAATAGAAGAGAGGAGAATTTTTCATACCTGCCTGTAAAAAAAAGATCTAAACTAAACTGTATTTACTTCATATGTCCCTCCTGGAGAAAAGACAGTCTCTTCAATAAGTAGTGCTGGGAAAACTGGACAGCTACATGTAAAAGAATGAAATCAGAACATTCTCTAACAACATACACAAAAATAAACTCAAAATGGATTAAAGACCTAAATGTAAGGCTGGATACTATAAAACTCTTAGAGGAAAACAGGCAAAACACTCTTTGACATAAATCACAGCAATATCTTTCTGAATCCAAAAGGATCAACCTCCCAGAGTAATGAAAATAAAAACAAAAATAAACAAATGGGACCTAATTAAACTTAGCTTTTGCACAGCAAAGGAAACCATAAACAAAACGAAGACAACCTACAGAATGGGAGAAAATATTTGCAAATGATGCAATTGACAAGAGATTAATCTCCAAAATATACAAGCAGTCCATGCAGCTCAATATCCAAAAAACAAACAACCCAATCAAAAAATGGGTGGAAGACCTAAATAGACATTTCTCCAAAAAAGACATACACATGGCCCATAGGCACATGAAAAGATGTTCAACATAGCTAATCATCACAGAAATGCAAATCAAAGCTACAATGAGGTATCAGCTCATGCTGATCAGAATGGCCACCATCAAAAAGTCTACAAACAATAAATATTGGAGAGGGTGTGGAGAAAAGGGAACTTTCCTACACTGCTGGTGGGAATGTAAATTGGTACAGCCACTATGGAGAACGGTATGGAGTTTCCTTAAAAAACTAAAAATAGGGGCTTCCCTGGTGGCACAGTGGTTGAGAGTCCACCTGCCGATGCAGGGGACACGGGTTTGTGCCCCGGTCTGGGAAGATCCCACATGCCACGGAGCGGCTGGGCCCGGGAGCCATGGCCGCTGAGCCTGCGCGTCTGGAGCCTGTGCTCTGCAATGGGAAAGGCCACAACAGTGAGAGGGCCATGTACCGCAAAAAAAAAAAAAAAAAAACCAAAAAATAGAGCTACCATATGATCCAGCAATCCCACTCCTGGGCATTTATCTGGAGAAAACAATAATTTGAAAAGACACATGCACCCCAATGTTCATTGCAGCACTATTTACAATAGCCAAGACACGGAAGCAACCTAAATGTCCATCAACAGGTGAATGGATAAAGATGTGGTATATATACACAATGGAATATTACTCAGCCATAAAAAAGAATGAAATAATGCCAACTGCAGTAACATGGATGGACCTAGAGCTTATCATACTAAGCGAAGTCAGAAAGAGAAAGACAAATACCATATGATATCACTTATATGTGGAATCGAAAAAAATGATACAAATTGACTTATTTACAAAACAGAAACAGACTCACAGACATAGAAAACGAACTTAGGGTTACCAAAGGGAAAAGGTGGGAGTGTGGATAAATTAGGAGTTTTGGATTAAGATACACACAATACTATATATAAAATAGACAATCAACCAGGACCTACTATATAGCACAGGGAACTCTACTCAATATTCTGTAATAACCTATAAGGGAAAAGAATCTGAAAAAGAATGGATATATGTATTTGTATAACCAAATGACTTTGCTGTACACCTGAAACTAACACAACATTGTAAATCAATTATACTCCAATATAAAATAAAAATTTTTTAAAAAAGATCTAAACTAAGCTGCGTTTTACTTCATATGTCCCTCCTGGTAAAAAGTTCTTTACCTTTTTCTTCTGCCCACCCTCTGTTGAAGGCAATATGAGATAGGAAAAGGAAGTAGCAGAGGTAAAGGACTGACACTTTGCACCAATGCCACAAGGGTCATTCACACCCTAAAGTGTGAGTGAGAATGGTGCTCCCCTGGAATGAATAATGCACACTGTGCGAAGCTATACAAAGATGTTCCCAAGCCGAGTCAGGAACAGTCATTTTTGAATGATTTTCTCTCCTTTAGTAAAATCCTTACTCTGCAGGATGATCCAGAATATATTTGGCAACCGACATTAAACAATTCAGTGAAATAAAATTGGCATGATAAATTTAGAAAATTATCAGAATCATAGAACATTAGTGAAAGGCATGTCAGCAATAATCAAAGCCTTGTTTTTAAGACTTAGGGACTTATAAAATGGACAATATACTTTAATGAGATATAAATGTACTTGTTATTTTAGTTCCACATACCACACTACTTTAATATTTAAGAAAATCACTTGAAGTCTGGGGCAGGACACTTTAAAAATAATTTGAGGGGCTTCCCTGGTGGCGCAGTGGTTGGGAGTCTGCCTGCCGATGCAGGGGACGCGGGTTCGTGCCCCGGTCCGGGAGGATCCCGCGTGCCACGGAGCGGCTGGGCCCGTGAGCCATGGCCGCTGGGCCTGCGCGTCCGGAGCCTGTGCTCTGCAACGGGAGAGGCCACAGCAGTGAGAGGCCCGCGTACCGCAAAAAAGAAAAAAAAAAATTTGAATTAGAATAAGCAAGTTTGGGACAGAATCAGAGGACTCCTGTCTTGAGGGAGTGTAGAATAGCCTCAAATTCCAACTTTGCTACAGATTAGGTGTATGTTTTTGAGTGACAACCTCTCTAAGCCTCAGTCTGCACCTTTATAAAAGGGATAATATTATCTAATGCATAGAATTACTATGTGGATTAAATGAGATAACATTTTTTATAGGACAAAACAGATGTTCAATAACTGGTAGCTACTGTCATCTTCACCATCGAATCCAATCCCCTTTTTTTAAACAAAGAAATCTAAACCCACAGAGACTGCCTTTGCCCAAAGGAGAGGGAGATAATCCAGGTCTCTCAATTTCCAGCCCACCCCTAGTCCACCACTTCACCCCACCTTACTCCTAAATTGATAAGACTCTGCATTTGTAAGTTATTTATTACAAGTTTTAAGAAACATAAAATTACAATCACTTAAATTTTAAAGATGAATTCTGTATTTGCTGTTTTTAAGGTAAAAAACGCTATTAAAAAATCTCTTTCCATCACTTGAAATTTACTGTACCTAGAAAAAGGAGAAAGATTTTGACAACGGTTGTTGCCTACAATCTGAGAGGTGTAAAGTACTACCTGGGTCCGCTGCCCTCCCCATAGTGTGATACCCACACTACAGCTGGCCCTACTCAAAGACTGATACCTTTGAAGGCTCCAGAAAAAAACAAAACAACTGCATTCAGTTAAGTTCCAGACATTGTCTTGCAGGGGGAACACACGACTTAACACAGTTAAAAAGGAAAGAGGCACCTCATGTGAAAACAGTTACAAAACCACTTTCCCCTAATTAGGAAGTTTGGTGAGCTGGGATACCAAGAAACTGTCCAGGAAATGGGAGGGCTCTGGCGGTGGAAGTGTCCACGGATGGGGCGGGACACGCGCCCGGTGGGGTCAGAGATCTCCAAGACCCAGCTCAGGGCGCCCACCGAGTGGCGAGGATTCGGGGGGCTTGAGAGAACGCCGCCGAGTCTACGCACCTGGGAGCGAGGTCCGCATGGCGGCCGGACCCTGCAAGGCCAGGGTCGAGTGCGCTGTAGGGCGGCCGCCCTGTCCCCACCCGCCGGCCCTCCGCTCAGCCACCCCGGCCCCGCCGCTGCTTACCTGCCGCCGGGTCACGTCCACTCCGCGTCCGCTGCGCTCCGCCTTTCCCCCTGCACCTCGTCTCTCCCTGCAGGAGAGAGCGGCCCAGCGCGCTCGGCAAGCTCTGCGCCGCAGCGGCCCCTACAGCCCGGAGGCTGCGGCGCAGAGGCGCGGGAGCGGAGGGGTACCAGTCTAGCGCCTCTCCTCCACCTCCCAAGCCCTGCAGCCCGCCCGCGGGATGGAGTTTGCAAAGGGCGTTTTTGGTTTCTTCCTTTTTTACCTTAATTTTTCAGCCTACTGGGTCCAAATAACTTTCCAGTTTCGCGTGTGTGTTTTGTATAAATAAAAGGAGACATCACTTAGAATTACATAAATTTATTAACGGAAGGGGAAAGCTTTCTGATTTGGGAAAGAAGGCCCGGATCTGGTTTCCTCCTAGCCCCATTTCAGGGACACAGTCATTTAAATGTACGGTTAATCCTCTGACATTCTGTTAGTGCCTTGAGATTCTAAGATGCAAGATATGTGTGGCTATGGTTGTGATAAGAATAGATATGGATGCCGGTTTGCACGTACTTTGCTGATGTTGAACTTTGTTGGGATAAAAGCTGTGTTAAAACAAACAAAATAGAATATCAGGTGCCCAGATTTTGACATGGATTTATGTAAATTTTTGGCAAATGGATTTTGAATTTAAAACTTGTTCTCTCAAGCCAAACTGACTTTAATTTGAGGTTTAATTTTTAAAAGTTCACTGACATCTGGTATTAGTAGGCAATCTTCTGACAAATAAGTTAAATTTTAATTAAAAAGCTGTTTGTAACATGAAAAGGTGCTCAACATCACTAATCATTAGGGAAATGCGAAACCACAGTGAGATATCGCCTCACTCCTGTTAGAAGGGCTCTCATCAAAAAGACAAGAGGGACTTCCCCGGTGGCACAGTGGTTAAGAACCCACCTGCCAATTCAGGAGACACGGGTTTGAGCCGTGGTCCGGGAAGATCCCACATGCCACGAAGCAACTAAGCCCGTGCGCCACAACTAGAGCTTGCGCTCTAGAGCCCGCCAGTCACAGCTACTGAAGCCCGCATGCCTAGAGCCCATGCTCCGCAACAAGAAAAGCCACCGCAATGAGAAGCGCACCGCATTAAAGATAGCCCCTGCTCACCGCAACTAGAGAAAGCCCGCGCTCAGCAACGAAGACCAACGCAGCCAAAGATTAAAAATAATTAATTAATTAATTTAAAAAAAAATAAGATAGCACCATCAATATTTAATAATATTTAACAGGACATCTGGTATTTGCTAAGATTAGGAGCTTTTCTATTTGATGGGATTGGCTGCATAAAACAAAGTTTCATCTGTGTGAAAATGCATTCAGATTTATGAAAGACAACTGTTTTAATCAGAAGTTCCCAAAGTCTGCTCTAGGGACAATACTGGTGGTCTGTGAGCCTTCTCAAGGGAAGGGTACTTTTTTTTCAGGCAAGAATTAATAGAATTAATCTTTGCACAGGGCCTAGGCATGCGGGCTTCAGTAGTTGTGGCACACGAGCTTAATTGCTCCACAGCATGTGGGATCCTCCCAGATCAGGGCTCGACCTGTGTCCCCTGCATTGGCAGGCAGATTCTTCACCACGTTGTTGAGGTAATGTTTATAAAATGAATGCTGGATTCTTTTCCCTAGCATCACGCCAAGTCAAAGTAGGTGACATAATTAATGTGGGTTCAGCATACAACTGTTATTTCAGCTGCAAATAACTGAAAGTAACTTGAGTGCAAAAGGATCTGTATCACCTCATGTAATTAAGTACAAGGAGGGGACTGGTTTGGGGAACAGTGAGATATGGAACATCCATAGATAGCAACAGGGCTCCCTTGTCTCATTTCTTTATGCACTTCTCAGGTACACTCACTGCATGTCTTGGGTACATCCCTGCTGGCAGTTCCAGCCTCATACCACGTTAAGGTACATCCAAGTGGAAAGGGAGCTTTTCTAATCATCCATTTATCAAATATCATAAAAGAATTGTGATTGGCTTTCATGACCTTTGGGTCATATACCCTTTTTCAGGACAAATTGTTGTGGACAGGAGGAAGGAATAGCAGGGCTGGCCCCGCCTGGGTCAAGGTCATGTTATGCCAGTTATGGAGGAGACAATTCTCTGGGGGTTGGGATGGGGTAGAGATGCTAGGAAGACAAAACAAGCAGATGTCCACCCCACAGGTAGACCTGCTTCCTGAGAAGTTACACAGAACTCCTGAAAAGCAGCAGCTGGCAGGGATCACAGAATAGAACTTTTCCACTGAGGGGTGCTGCTTTCCCATGCTCACATGGTGGTGAAGGGATGCCTTCTATTCACGGTGGGTGACTAAATGAGGTGACCAAAGTGGAAGAAATGGGTGGGCCTGGTGCTGAATGCACAGGTGAGACTCCTGAGGGACTTGAAAAAATAATATCGTTACCTGCCGTCATATAATTTATTTATTTATTGTCTTTCTTCTCCTTTAGCATGTAAGTTCCATGAAGGCATGACTATTCCATGAAAGCTCCATGGAGCTTCATGTAAGCTGCATGAAGGCTCTACGTTTCTCTCGTAGCTATATTTCCAGACACATGAAGAGCTCCAGAAATATTCATAGAAGGTATGTTAAGTGGACAAGTGAGATGCTAAGGAGGAGGTACGATGATGAAGAGCAGCCAGCCAACTCATATGGGCCTCTGGACCATGAGAGACACTTTCCCACAATGGGATGAAAGTGAGATATTGTGAAAGGGGTCCTAGTGCAGGAGGGTAGAGCTGCCACGATGGGCCTGCAGGCCCCGCTTGTGAAAGGAAAATCAAAATGGAGTTGGTGTTGCTAAGAGAGCTCTCTCACATGGAGCCTGGAGGCCATCGAGAAAGTGTGACTTACGCGTGTCTCAGCCTGGATGGAACCTGACCTTTGATCACTTACCGTCTAAAGCAGGCATCCAGAACATCTGCCAAGTGCTCCAGAAACTCAAGATATTTGTTGGACGCTTACCCTAAAATAACCAGTGACAGCCTATCCCTTAAGGACAAATATTTCCTTTCCTGCATCAGTCAGTCATAATTCTTGAACAATCCTGTGGCTTTTGCTTTTATAAGCCCCTGACTCTTTCTCTTTCCCGGAACAGGCTTTTAGTTTTACCTGATTCTGTATCTCCCAAATTGCAATTTTTTAAGACCGCCCCCCCACAAAAAGTTCTTTGTTATTTGCAGCCTTGATACTGATTATTGTTGGCCATCAATTCTGTAACTGCTTCTGACGGCACCCAGGGCTGCAGAAACAACTTCTCTCAACTGAGGCACAGATCTTTTATTCCTTTATCAACATGTTCCCCTCATTGGATAAAAACACACAAAAAAACCCCAAGCCCACCCTTTTTCTTACTCTTCCACCTTTGCCCAAACCCAATTTCCAGAGAAGAGGGGAACCCTCTGAGGTAGAGGGGGCCCAAGCAAGGCTTTGTGGCCAGCCTGTTGTCAATAGCCACGCCCTGGGGTGTGGAGGGCATGGGCCCTGAGGTTTGCCTGTAGGCAAATGTCAGTGAAATGTCAGTATCAATGTTCAAGTGACCTTATTTTTATCCAGATGCTAGAGAAAGTTGGGGATATTTGGGTTGTACGATTGAAACTGCTGTTCACTGTACATACCTTTGAAATAAAACAATTTTAATGTAGATGTAAAATGCAGTGTATTACAAAATTTACAAACGTTTAGAGAGAAGTCCCAGAGACTAACAGATGAACTCACAAGATGGCTTAGTGTTTCTGAAGTCTTGCCAGTTGGTCTGACATTCACATACCCTCAGCATCATCCTACATCGAAGGTGGGCAAACTTGAGCATGCGTCAGACTCACCTTTGTTAAAACACCAATTACAGGACCCCAACTCCAGCGTATTTCAGAAAGTAGGTCTGGGGTGGGGCCTGAGAAATTCCATTGCTGCCACTGCTGCTCCTTGGACCTCACCTTGAGAACCACTGACATTCATGATGGGTCACTTTCCTTCTTCATTTGCCAGCTACGCTCAGCGGCCATGGCTCACGGGCGCAGCCGCTCCGCGGCACGGGGAAGATTCCCGGACCGGGGCATGAACCTGCGTCCCCTGCATCGGCAGGCGGACTCTCAACCACTGCGCCACCAGGGAAGCCCCATAACTGCTTTTTATTATATAGTTTCTACCCTGGGGAGAAAGATGTGTCACATTTTAACTCATCTTAAGAAATTCCTCTGAAGATTTAAATGTCTGACCCAATGAAGCCTCCAGCAAGTCAGACAAAACAATCATTTCAGACGGTGGAGACTTAAATACAGTTAGTGTTGATCATAGGTCTGCATGGTTTGGGATCAGTGCAAATCTAATCAAGTGAGTGGGACAATTTTATTTGGAGGCAATGACATTTATCCTGAGAAGGTGCTTCCTAAGTTTCAAAAAATGCAAAGATTTGGACCTACTGCATAGTACAGGGAACTATACTCAATATTTTGTAATAACCTATAAGGGAAATGAATCTGGAAAAAAATATATATGTATGCATAGCTGAATCACTTTGCTGTACACCTGAAACTAACACAACGTTGTAAATCAACTATAATCCAATATAAATAAATAAATAAATAAATCCACAGTGAAAAGGCAAATCTCCAGAAGAGGACAGCCTCCGTGTGAACAGGCGTCAGGGTTTTCTAATCGGAGCCAGAGGCTCGCTCTATTTCTCTTTTAGATCAGTCAGCCTCCACCTCTCACTCCAAGCAACCAAGAGTGTCTGTCTCTCTTCCAGCCATGCAGATGTAAAATGCAGACTATTATAAAACTTACAAACATTTAGGGAGAGACCCCAGAGTCTAACAGAACATCATGAACAGCATATTGTACAATGTTTGTTTGTTTGCAGAAAGGGTGTAGAGCTTTGATCAATACAATTGGATGGACAGGCAGGGAAAGCATGCTCTGCCATTAGGCCCTGGAGGCTGGATGGAGTAAAGCAAAGTGACACAGGCACAGAATAACGGAAAGCAGGTGAATCAAGGCAAACAGGGTTACAGGATTGTGTAATTATGAGGAATTATTTTCTTTTGTTCAGATTTTCTTTAATATTGTTGTTGTACTTATTTTCAATACCAATTATTTAATATAACCTGGTGCTAGAATTTAAGCCTTTCCTTTACTCACCTCTATTTTTTAAGTAATCTTTTTGTTCAATTGGAGCATTTGTTTAATTGAAGGAAAGTATACAAATTCTAAGTGAACAGCTTGATGGATACTCACAAAGTGTACACACTCAAGTGACCACCACCCAGAATAGGAGCTAGAATATCCCAGAAGAGCATCACAGAACCACATCACACCTCCTCTCCGTCACTATCCAACCCCTTCCCTGGCAACCGCTATTTCAACTTCTATCACCATATATTAATTTTTTAACTATTATGTTTTAAAATTCATTCATATTGATGCATTTATCAGTCTGTGGTTCATTTCCATTGCTATATAGTATTGCATTGTCCTGAGAAGTGAGATTTCCTGCCTCAGCATGAATTTAACTGATGGGACTGGTAGCTGAGATTAGCCAGATTAGGAAGATGCAATAGCAGATCAATACAGAAATTTACTGTTTGCATCAGGAAATTTTTTTTTTTTTTTTTTGCGGTACGCGGGCCTCTGACTGTTGTGGCCTCTCCCGTTGCGGAGCACAGGCTCCAGACGCGCAGGCTTCAGTAGTTGTGGTGTGTGGGCTCAGTAGT